TCCCATAGACCTAAAGTGACACTCCGATTACCATAAACAGTTGAATCCTACTTCTTTGCAAGTTTAGATCCATTTTCTTTACGAGAACCTCAATATATCCACCTTCCGTCCAAAAATCACAACGTTTTTTTGGAAAGAAGGGAATTTTGATTCTAGTTAAAGGCAGCTTTGTTGTTCTTCGATGTAGAGTGTTCAAAGCCGAAGAGAGTTGAAGAAAACATGGTGGGAACATAGGTGCAAACATAGCTATCGTCTTTGCAAATAATCAACCAGATGATTAGCGTCAGCCTTTTTAAGAGCGATAGGGTAGCAAGGAATGGTAGGCGCTAAAATGATAATACAAAATAAACTCAAAAAGGAGGAGAGACGGCGTACCGGACGCTCGGGTCGTTTGGTAATATAATGACAGGAGATTTCTGTGATTTTATTTTGGAATGGCAGTGCTTGCAGAATCCCAAGTGCTGGACAGCCTTTGTTGAAGTATAACATTTGTAGAACAACACCATATTTCTTGTTTTGCTGACCGCAGCCGCAGTGTTTTGTGCATTCAGTTATCATTCAAGTGCCATAAATGATGACTTCGACGTCTGGTTACAGATCAACTCACGCGAGCCTACCGAAACCAATCATGCAAAACGCGACAAATATCCAGATTTCTACTCCGGAAGCATTTAATTCAGAAAATCCTTTTCAAACAAGCCCAATTGAAACGTAGGGGTAAGTTCCATTAGTCTCCTTTTTGGCCGCAAGGATTTATGCCGGTGGCCCGCAACACTATTTTGAAATGCCTCAATTCTGCTTAATTGTGATTGGAGCATAATTCGCAGCACTCGCAAACAATTCAATAAATTCTTGCGAATTGTATCAAGAAAGTATCAGCTTTGTTTCGCGTTCTGTCACACCTAGTCAATTCATTAGAGTGAAGTTCAAGACGAAATAATACTCATTTCGACTACTGATACGAATATGCCGAGCATTGGATAACGCGGTCGCAGCGCCTCCGCACCGCTTTATGATCTATACATATGACCTCTAATGTCTACTGGGCAGAGACCCATCACCTTCCCATTTAATTTTGCTCTTGTGCACATAACAACTATTGCTATCGTATTATCGCATTTCAGTCTACTAATTCGGGACCTAAACTGATTGCCTCGTATTTACTAGGGTGCGTTCATCTCTCATTAACATTGATTAGTGAAGTATTTCATGTATTACACATGGAATTTTCAGATTATCTTGTTATGCCGAGAATAGACTTCTCTAATGCCATTACCAAAAGGGGAAGTCTACCAAGGATTTTATCTAGTAGTAAGAAAAACTCCTTGCTGTCACCACTTAATACTAGTTTCATCGCGGGTGAATGGGAAGACTCGAGGGGGGATCCCTTTTCGAGACAAAACCCACTAAAACAAGAAGCAGAGTATGGTGAAGATCACAACAGCACAAGTTCATCGACTGCACGAGCAATAAAGCGAAGTACAAGTTTGCTTCCTTTGCGTACTAGAAGAATATTCACTCCTCCTTTAACTGGTACCAAGCCGGAGATTGAGACCAAGGAGTCCGAAGTGATTGACAACTGCCAAGAAATCCGAGTAAATAGAATGATCACAGTACGGCGAGGACCACAAGTACATATTCCTATTCGAAAAGTCAGATGCCAGCTTACAGCACCTGCCATTACTTTGGAGACTTCGGATTCGTCAGTACCAACTCCTAATGAGATCCTTATTGCGGTTCGTTTTTTAGTCATAAGTTTTTTAATTGCAACATTTGAATACTGTTACTACTAAACTTCAGATACTGACCTGCGTTCTTGTTTCACTATCTTCCGTAACTTCTTGCGGAAACTCTTTCCAAAGCTCCCTCTGCTAATGGCTCTAGGCATCATGTGCACACCTTTTTTGTTGGCTGGGTAATCATCGGCAAGGGCGATATCCGAAAATGCTCGAATACTGAAACAATGACTAGTGTTACAGATCTAAATTAACATTTCGTATATTGACAGAAATATATTTCCAGAAACGGGTGCAACATCCAAGTTACATTGCAACTCCACTATACTGTAATTCAATATTTTTTCCACATCTTAGCTTAAATGGGATGATATTATGAACCTTTTCTTTGATTACTCCTTTTTTGCATTTACACATTTGCAACTTTTGGACTTTCTTGCGCCGAGTATAGTCGAAAAAATTACGTAAAGCACGATTCACTTCGTAAAGTATGAGCAGCATAGAATGGGGTCATCTGGTAGAAAAAGTTTCGTAATGAGTCTCCGGCTCACTCTAATAGCTGCCTACCATAAGAGTGAAACCAAAAAAGAAATGTCGGAGAAAATGAGGCCAATAGGGGGAAATCATATCGAGGCTAACAACACCATACAACACATTGCAGACTGTTTCAAAGCCAGAATAAGAATGTTCGTGAGTACGACAGAAATTTAACAAATTAACTCACAGATCGCTGTCGTTAGTTGAATCGTAATCCTTTTTATAGAAACTGCTAAAAGATATGCCTCGTCGGCGTTGGTCAACGCCTCGGCAACGTTTCTGCAATAGCAGCAAAATTAACAGCGCCAATAATACGCCTAGACAGTTGCAGTAGAATCAAAGCTTACGCTGTCAATAATACGATTAGGTAAACATATTTATTTGTCAAGCGGTGACATCTTGTTAATACCTACTTATTTGCTTGACTCTCGTAACCAGTAACTGGCTCATTTTATTATGATCGCTGCTATTATAGACCCGTCTCTCTGATTATATTCATAAGCACCAACAAGGAAGGTCTTGCAGGGCGTGGAATGCTTTTTGAAAATGATTTTTGCATGGTATAGGGGAATGAGCACTGAGTGTAGAACTATGGTCCATTTCCGCTAAATGGCTTCCGAATGCCAAAAGAAGGGTGAAAATGATTTTGTCAGAGATTGCCGTTTTAACCCACTAAGCGTCACTTATTTAAATCATGGCGTCGACTGTCCGCACAGTGGAAGGCGCCAGTGGACTGCGCATAGAAAATAACGTGAACGGTAGCCAAAAAAGGGAGCCACATGTTGAAAAGTGCGGGGGAGTTTTATATGTGCTCTCCACGGTTGAGCTGCCGGCAGCGACGGATGATGTGGTGGATAGCGATGTGGACTTCGAGTTGGAACGGCTATGCTCGGTTGATGGTTCGGACCCATGAGGCTTTCCCGTTTTTGCATTGATGCTGCCACCCCCAGATTGCCTCCACAGTGCACCAGGGCCAAAGCAAGTGCCTGGGCTATCAGTGAAGAGCTTCCAGACTTCACAATCCCAGGAGTCCCCCCTCCCCCGCCAAATTCCTCACGAAGTTTTTCCATCAATTCGGCTGTTTTTGCATCCCTCACATCGAGAGTTCATTCAGTTACAGGGACCATATTATAGGGTTTTGTCCACTTACAACACTTATATAGTGTGAAATGAAGGGAACCCTTTATACTCCTGGGAGTGTGAAGCCTGGAAGCTCCTTCACTGATAATGCTCCACACATCAAATTCTAACGACTTGTAGAGGTTATCGCTGGTCCTGTTTACGACCACGACCGGTCAAGCACTTGCTTTGGCCCTGGCGCAATATGGAGCCAATCTGGAGGTGGCAGCATAAAATGCAAAACGACAAAGCCCCAGGGATCCGAACCATCAACCAAGCCTAGTCGTCCCAATTCGAAGCCACATCGCTATCCACCACACCATCCGTCGCTGCCAGCAGCTCAACCGTGGAGAGCACATATGAAACTTTCCCGCACTTTTAAACTTGTGGCTCCCTTTTTCGGCTACTGTGCACGTCATTTTCAATGCGCAGTCCACTGGCGCCCTCTACTGAGCAGACAGTCGACGCCATAAATGAAACAAGCGACGCTTATTGGGTTGAAATGGCAATTTCTGACAAAATCATTTTCACTCTTTTTTGGCATTCAGAAGGCCATTTAGTGGAAATGGACCATAGTTCTATATTCAGTGCTCATGACCCCATACCATGCAAAAGACCATTTTCCCACGCCCTGGAAGATCTCCCTTGTAAGCGTTCAATTGACCAAGGAATATCGAAGGGGCCATATGAAATGAGACTTACGCTGCTGGACGTTTCCTCGGATGCTGATCTTAAATCTGCCTTCCAAATTTGCCGAACGATCCTTCGAATGTAGTTAGGAAGGAAGTTTAAGGGGGGGGGGGACACTTGACATAAGCAAACACAAAACACGTCACCCCAGGATTCCAGTAATGGTTTATGGCACTGGTAAAAATGGTCTCCCACAGAACCCGCACCATGGTTTCTCACGTGCGAGTGACCATGGTGCAGGTTCTGTGGGAAGGTGCTTAATTTTTGCATTTCACAGGTCGTTTTCCTCGACGCCTAAAAACCCCATTAAAGTTTATTTTATCTCATTCTACGACTTTTTGATGTTTGAGGTGGTCCTTTCCTGCCTGAACCATGCAATATTGCCATTTGATTTGTTGGCTATCCACGCGCGCCACTTCCACAGTGTAGTTGCTGAAGGAAAACTCACCATCATTAGCTTCGGAAAGCTCAAAGGAAGTAGAACGGGTCGTGCAGTCAGTTCCTGACACCATCCACTCGTTCATTGCTATAGCTTGCCTATTCGCTGATAACCGCCTAGTTCGGAGGCCGTTCGCGGTGTTCCAGGTCTGTCATCGAAGCAATCTGCATTACATTATTTCTATAAATCTGACTTGATGGGAAACCCCTGGCGAGCTCCTAGAGAGGTAATCTTTTCTTGCGCGGAATATGGAAGTTCGAGCGAGGAAAACGCCTCTGGTAAACAAGCAGTGGATGCTAAGCTGTAACCGTGAGTAAACAGTACGGACCCACCAGTACCACTGCTACTGGTAACGGATTCAATGGCATCTTCCAGAGATCATAAAGCTATTCAGTCTGCTCTTCCTTCATAAAAGCAACTAAAGATGATGGACATCCCTCCTCCTTTTAAAAATATGTTCAAACGCGTCAGCCACACTTAGTAGCTCTTGTTCACAACTTTTGTGGATGCGCTTATGTCTCAATTCTTTGCTTACTGTCACTTGGAAATTCAGTTTTGCGGTGTGAGTGTGAGATATTTCTCTCTGTAATAACATGCGGTCGAGTATTTAAGCATCCACCCGCGTGATTTTGAGATGCCTGCACAATTCTGCTTCCTTTCTGGCTTGGCAAGGGTAGAGTCGGGTGAAATCTTTTGTTGTGCCATTGTTAGAAAGTTCTCTATTCGAACATTTGTGATACGATCCTTACTATATACAACGCGCTCGCGTCTGTCTGTATTTGCTTCTCTGTCACAAGATTCGATATTACCTGGAAAAGTATCTGAAGCGGTCGAATCAACCTTGGAGTGCGTTGAGCATAGGACAAGATTAACTGAGCACACGCGAGCTCAGCGGAGCTCCGCCCGTGGGGGGGAGGCATGCACGTAGTTGGCGATGCCAAGATCAAAACTTATTGTTCGGTTCCATAACAACACAGACTCTGGGTAAATATTAGCAAAGGTGAGTGATGGGTCAATGAAGGAACTGAAGAATCACCAGTGCTGGGCGGAAAAAGTGGTTAGAGCTACAAGTAAGGGTATGGTTAAATAACCAGAGTGGGCGGGACCAAGATTAAAAATTTATAACTCTGTTCAAAACGTTCTAGAACAAGAAAAGAAAGATGGTTAGAGGCTGATGAAGGGGTCAAGCCCCCAAAGTGGATGGGCTTGCACTAAGGTGAACGGAGCTGATGAAAACTTCACAACTCTTTCAAGGACGTCCTAAAAATTTCAAAATCGTTCTATTCATAAAATCATCATCTTTTTCTACCTATGAAATGATCGTCGTCACCAATTATGTGCAAAGGATTCGGTTCTGTATATATGTGATGAAGTTCGGTATGATCTAAAGAAGTACCTAAAGAAGTCGTTGAAGCTTGGAATGGTTCGAGCTTCGGGCATGATCAGTATACCGCATATGGGGTGTGGTTCGATTCACGAGTCAGTATAACAAGGTCATCTCGCGTGAAGGGCGGGGCCTACGGCGGCGCGCTGCCGTGGACGAGACGCGCTATAACATCGTGCTCATCATCATTATGGGATAAATGGGAACTTATAAAATAAAAGTAAAAAGATTATCAATCGCACGTTTAGACAAGAACTGCGTTCATTAGTATCCAAATATTTTCAATTCACTCTTATTTTGAACGTTCGACAAGTAAATTGTTGACCCATGAAGTGAATTCTTAACCTCGAGGAAGCTCAATTGTCTTAGTGAAGACATTTGCACTAGTTCATGGTGAAGCCATGAACTAGTGCACATCTCATTTGGTTTATCCCAACTGAAGGGTACTGAAGCAATCGCATGGAAACACGTAAAAAATATGGTGCGGGGTGCGTCGCGTGCTGCGTCCGCGAAGAGCTCTAATGGGGTCACGCGTGAACCGCACGCCTCCCCGGCATATGAGCTTAGGGGAGCCCTACTCACAACGTGCGGAACATGCACGGGAAAGACGGTGCAATAAGAAAAATTTCATAATTTTGCTTCAAAAAGCTCAGGCAGTAGAGGTAATGGGCAAAGGTTAGGTTAGGTCAAATCATACGAAAGAGACTCATCTGCGGTGAAGCTTAGCGTATAGCCTATAACGGGCTCCTAAAGGATGGAGCTCAGATCAAAAAAAAATCTCTCTTTGATACGTTCTTTGTTGTAACGCACGTTTTAGTGTGCAGTGCCAACTTGGTGAGGTAATAAAGTGATAAAGTCATCAAACTGTGAATACAGTGTATAAATGTGCGAAATTGAAATGTATTGCATTACCTAGCAAGTGAAGGGTACTGGGTCACAGAGGCCACTCGAGGTGAGATTTATACTCACACACGTAATTTTGAACGCTTTTTCAAATCCATAATCAAATCTGCGCAATGATTCTAGGAACGATGTCAAGGAATGTGATATAGGGTTTTGATGAGCATATAATATATCGAGGTCGAGTAGATGTGCCAGATGTGAATAGATGGCGCAACAGGTGAAGCAATGGTCTAGTAGGCGCGGCACAAGGGCTTGCATCCCGTGTCATAAGGTTGTTAGTATGTTGTAAAATGCACAATAGAGGCTTGCAGACCAGTTTTAGGTCTCCTATTGACTAACTAATAGTCCCCCTTAGCTATAAGGAATATAAGAAATAACTACTGGGTAAAACGCAGCCCTGACTCCTGACCCAAAGTGAAGCGCTCCCTGCTCACCCTGCACCACTATGAGTTCCCATCCTTCCAAGCACTTCTAAAGCATACAACACGCTCCTTCTCTACTGAACCGATGACAAGATTTGGGAAGCAAGAAGATGTAATATTATAGGCGCCCATGACCACACACGGCACCAGAATTTATAGCAGCACTGTTTTTACACATTGAAGAGATCAGATGAGAAAAGCTCGTTGCTTCAAATTATTAGTACCGTTTCCGTCAAGGTGAAATGAGGAGCAGCATTGTCAAGGTGTTGAGGTGAGCAAGTTGAGAGCTCACTCTCTCTCTCGCGATTGCTCCTGAATTTCGCCGTGATATTCAGCAACAATAGAGGGCGATTCGCTATCGTTTCTCGGCCATCGAGAGTTGATGGACGATGGCTTTTTCACTTGCACTACAGGAGCAGGCGAAATCATGGAACTTGGGCAAGTATTTTCTCCCGAATCCGTAGCCGTTGCTCTTCGTACATCAACAACTTACGAGGGTCCTCCTCCGCTATCATCAAAATGCTGGATAGGATCAGCATTTCTGTCCACTACGGATTGATTACGCACGCTGCCGTGAAGGATGAGTCAAAATGTGAGTGTGAAGCTCTCCAAAACTTTCCGTTTTTGCCCACAGAAGAGTACAAACACTTGCAAACTCAGGCTTTGCTCTGCAATGGTCCTTTGAAGGCGCATTCTCCGTGAAAGTGGTGACACCGCATTGTCAAGAAGACTCTGTTTTCGCGACACAGTACCGAGCAAGCACTTGACCGACAGAAAAAAATCCATTTCGACGAGTATTATTGAACATTAGCAAATATAAGAACTACCAGTCGGATTGCCGAGCTCTCCACCTTCTTTTGTTAAAGTCAATCCGCCGCCTGCACTCTCCCAAGTTCAAAATCTCTGACCCAAGGAAATAGGAGCTACTAATTTCCAGCAAAACACGCAAACGTCGACACACTTCGTGCTTTGGGTTCTATCTTTTTACTCCAACTTGACTGCGTGTATGCATTCAAAGTATGGTCATTTTTATCGCGCCCCATACAACCTCCTACGCTTCCGCAGACTCGATCCGGTTAAGCTACTTCTACTACCTTGCGTCGGTGTCTTAAATCATAAATTAGTCTTTCCAAATTCAGGCGCCCCTGGTCGAAATGAGCAATTTTTGCGTACGTCCCGCTTCCTGTGTGCTAAGTCAGGTCATGCCACCTCCCATCATGATTCCCATACTGCCGTCTTTATTCCTAGCGAATTTGGATGCCTCAGGTCCAAACAGCCAATTTTCACGCACGCCCTCCCCAGCGTCTCTGCCA